AGCAACAGTTGAGTACATGCGAATGTGAATTTCTTTTACTGGAAATCAGCGAATTTGAATTTAAGTAAACAAGAATATGGTTTCAGTCAAATAATGTTATCTTGCAAAGTTATGTACAAAATGTTAAGAGTATAATCTATTTATATATATCTATTAATTTTTATGCTGTTAACATACATCTACTTGCATGGTACTGTCAATAGGTTGATGTATTGTCAATATTTTCATGCATAATGGTGCATGTTTTGCTTTTGAGTTGCTTTCATCTGTCTAAAACATTAATTTTCAGGCATTAGTAACATGATTGGATTTTGTAATCGCATTTTCTTTGATTGCAGGTTTTGGAAATCCTTAACGGATGACTTTTGAAGTCTAAATTTTTCTTTCATCCCTGCCACAGGAGGTACATACTGTGCCGTGGAAGATGTGTAATCCTCAGCAAGTGATCCTTTGCCTTTCCATAAAAATGTGCAAAAAAGGTGTAACAAGACAATTTGACAGGATAATTCGTACTAAAATATTGGGCATAATGAGAATATGGCTTGTTGAGCTTTATGGGATTATGGTCTTTGATTGAGTGCTTTCTATAGGTCGTACTATTAATATGTCCTACTGCATGTTTTACAAGTTGTGCTACCTATTTATTTATTTTCTAAAAGGACCAACAGGTGCTATACTCATTCAACATGTTTATGAGCTGTCATTATTGATGTTAGTAAAACTTGGATTGGCAGTTTTCATGGTTTCAAATTAGTACCTACAGTCTTCATTTTACAGTATAGACCAAATGAAGCGGCAACATTTTTTAGTAATGTATTAGATGGTTACCATCAAGCTTTTGGAAAAATGTGCTGATGTGCATGTACTGTAAAGCTAAGTATGTTCATTAATCTCACAACTTGTTAATTAGGTAGCTATGGATGGAAATTGCCCTGCCAATGGAGCACGAATTACGTTGGGTGATATAACCAATAAACCAAGGGTAAATTGAAACCATGCCATTATAATTTTATAATAATATTGAGACATACATAGTATTTATTTTGTTCATTTTTTCAAACAAAAATCACAGGTAATAATTTGACAGACAAGCATGATAAAATATGCGATCAAACAAGAGAAGATAGTGGAGAGCAAACAGTGTGCCGTACTGATGGTACTAGAGTGTCTATGTCACGCACAAAAATTCCCGAATAGAATTCCAAGCAGAATGTGCATTAAAACCCTCGTCCTGGCCGGGGTACACAAACGACAAATTTGACATATAGATCCACGTCTTACAAATATTATAAAAGCCTTACATAAATGCAGCGGAAAATTAAAAGATAACTGGAGCTAAGCCTTGACTTGGACTGCAGCGGGAATACCACTTCACAGGCATCCTCGACGGCACGGACGAAGCCTACTCCTCGGAAAAGCCACCATCTAACACGTACTCAAACTCTGGGGTTTGGGGAAAATAGAGCAAGACTGAGTACTACCCACTGTACTCAGCAAGTCATACCGGAATAGGTGTATGATGCAGGATATAACCAAAGGATAGCTAGAGCGGTTCATTTGCATAAAGCGAGCATTTAAAGACAGTAGTTGAAAGTAGAAAAATAGTTGTAATAATTAATCAATATTAACCATCCACTGTCCAACGCTACACCATGTTGCAACAGGCCCAACCACCCACCTGAACTAATCAATTCCATTAGACTAAGCTAGGGTGAGACTAATCACGGTGAATCTGGTTGACCGCCCATAACCGCGGGCACGGCTATTCGAATAGTTTTACTTTGATCAGAGGTGTACAACTGTACCCACAAGACAGCCCCACGACACGTTTCCGTGCGCCGACATGCCACCACGACATACCGGATAGAGGCCGTGATAGGACCCTTCGCATAACCCCCTCTAACCAAGCACACCACACCTCAGGTTTCACCCCCACTCCTCGCAAGGCAGCGGGCAGTCCCCTCTCGTGCCTAGGTGAATCCGGAAGCCGCATAGGCCGTCGCAAGGCCCATCCAAACTCCATCACGCCCACCCTTGCCTGGATGTGTCAGCTAGAGGAAAGCTACACTACAAGCCCAGCCGTTGCCCACGCTGGCTTGTGGTAAGTACGATAAGTTCTTCCAGGGCATCCCGCGAACCGGTCCTTAAGTGCCATGGGCGCGACCATCAAAACCATGCACCCACAGCCCACCATATGATATATTTTAATTGACCAACACCAAGATGGTGGCACTAATCCAACATCAACACTAGAACCTGAAGTCTATGCATTAATGCGATTCTCCCATTGTGTGCTAGTTAAACTAAGCATGGCTAAGCAATCCCTAGTCCAATATCTAGTCATGTTATATCCCAAGCTAACAAAGGAGCAAGGTACAAATAGCATAGCTAAAACAGTAGGTAACCATCCCATGGTATCATTGTAAATCAATGCAGTATTTAAAGGAAAACAATAGAGCCTTTGCAATATAGGATCAACATGTTCAAGTGACAAGCATGACTTGCCTTGCTCTGCTGCTGGAGGAACCTCGGCGACTATTTCAAAATACACCGGAGCGTCGGGAGAGCCGGAATCTAAGCGACATACAAAGCAAACAATATAAATAGGCCATAAGACTACTGAAACAGAGAACAAAACCATTTTTAATGGATTCTTTGCATTTTTCTTGATTTACTGAGACTTGAATGGGCTTAAACGGAGCTCGGATGAATTTTCTATGAATTTAAGAAGATTCACTGTGTTTTTACTATAAACAGAAAAACCCTAAATGATTTATTGCGCAATAATTAAAACCCTGGAGAGAGAGGGGGCGGCGCTGACATGCGGGCCCCACATGGCAGTGACACGGGTGGCGGTCCGCGGTGGACCGAGTCCACAGACCGGGGAGGAGGCGGCACACCACGTGGCGCTGATGTGGCGCCGACACGGCGGCCATGCGGCAGCCACGTGGGCGGCCAAATGGACGGCCCCGATCTACCGCCCGGTAGATCGGACGGCGGAGGCGGCTCGCGGCCGGGCGCGCACGGGCACGGCTCAAGCCGACCTGCCAGCCGTGGCGCGCGATGGCGCGGCGCGACGCAAGGCGGCGAACGGCCAGCGGCGGAGAGCGGCGGCGACCGACGGCGAGCGGCGATGCACGGCGAGCGACGGCGGCGCGGCCCCGAGCGGCAAGGCGGCGGCGCTAAGAGGGAGAGGGGGAAAGACGGCGGGGAGATGCTCACGGAGGATTCGGCCGGCACGGAGGGGCGACGGCGAACGGCGACGAGGAATGACCGGGAGACGACGGCGAACGGCGGACGGTCTCCGGAACCACCTAGCGAACATGATGAAAGGGGGTTAGAGAGAGAGAGAGAGAGGACGATGGAAGAGGGCGAGGACGCCGGCCGAAGGCAGCGGCCATGGCGGTGCTCACCGGTGCACGGTGCGGAGTGGGTTCCGGTGGCGGATTCCGACGGAGGAGAGGTGGACGGGACGGCCCGTACGACGGCGAACGCGACAGCATCGACGGCACGGCTTGGCACGACGGCTAGCGGCGACCGGAGCGGTGGTGGCGGCGGCGGCGGCGGAGAGGAGGGCGACGGCGCTAGGGCAGTAGAGGGCACGGGGGAGCTCGGCGAAATGGAGAAAAAGAGAGAGGGGAGGGCGGTGATGCTTAAATAGGGGAGAGGGGCTCGGACGTGGCCGGGAACGGCCCGATTTCGCCGGCTGACGTGGGGAGGTGGAGGTAGAGAGAGAGAGAGAGAGAGAGAGAGAGAGAGAGAGAGAGAGGCGGGATTTGAAATTCAAATCCCGGCCATCTCGGGGTGCGGGCGAGCGGGAGAGGGGGTTGAGGGGCGCGGGAAAAGCGGGCGCACGCGCGGGCGTGGCCTATGTGACGCGGGAAAGGCGGGCGCGGGCAGTTGCGAGGCGGCGGCTGCGGACGGCGGGCGGCCGGAGGTGGGAGACGGGCCCAACAGGTGGGCCCCACCTGTCGGCGACCCGAAGGGAGGAGGGAGGAGGCGGCCGGCTGCTGGGCCTTGGCCTTCGGCCGGCCCAGCGGGGAGGGGGAGGGGAAGAGAATGGGCCGGCGGCCCATTCGAAAAGAAAAAGGAGGGAAAAGAAAAAGAAAAAGAAGGAAATGAATTTCTAGGGAATTAACTATTGCTTGTGCTCATTTTTAATTGGTTAAAATTATTTCTAGAGTTCTGAAAATTCCACTAAAAATCTTGTTAGCATATTTCGACATGAAGAACTCAAGAAAAATCCCACATGCCAATTCCGATTATTATTTGCATTAATTTATTAGGGTTTCACTCTTGCTTTTACACTGATATTTTTTTGGGACCATTTATAAATTTAATTTAGGCTTGAGAGAAGAACTTTAGGGTGTGACAGTCTACCTTTTAACTTTCTGACCAACAGAAACGAGAAGAGAAGAGCAAATATATGCGTGACTGGCGTGCCAGAAAAAAGGCTGAGTTAAGTGGTTTAAGCAAGGTGGTAACACCACTCACTCCATTACAAGCAGCAAATGTTCATGTACCGTCAGTACACGGTGAGTGTGAGGTACACATAACTCATCTTGCCGAACTTAGTGACAGACAGAAGAGAGAAGAGAAGAGCAAATATATGCGCCAATGGCATGCAAGGAAAAAGGCTGGGACAGGTGGTGTTAATGAGCATGTAACATCTAGCACTTTAGTGCAATCCACAATTGTTTCTCCACCAGAACAGAGCGATTGTAATAAGGTCCACATAACTCAACTTACTCAAAGTGATGGAAATGGACTATTTACAACGCTATTGCAGGAACCAACCATTGCATATTCTCAGCATATTGAGAGTTGTGTGCTGCAGACAACTGAACTTTCTGACCAACATAAGAGAGACCAGAATAGCAAATATATGCGTGAATGGCGTGCAAGGAAAAGGGATGAGTTAAGTGGTGTTGGCAGTACTGTATCATCTGGCGATCCAATGCAATTAGCAGCTATTTCACCTTCAATTTAGATTGAAGGCGATGATTTTCAAAAAAACTCAGCTTACAGATTCAAGTGATAAACGAAAGAGAGAAGAAAGGAACAAATATCAACGTGAATGGCGTGCAAGGAAGAAGGCCAAGTTAAGTGGTACCGGTAATGTTACATCTGACAGTCCAGTGCTAGCAACAACTATTTCAGCGACAGAACTTAGTGAAGGGGGTGAGGTCGGGCGATCTGCAATCTCCAGCACAGAAAAGAAAGAAGAAAGGAATAGAAAGCAACGTGAGTACCGTGAGAGGAAGAAGGCTGAGTCAAAGAGGGTTAGTGAAGATGATGCTACACTGAGTGTACTAGATAAGGAAAATATTGATCCAGATGATCCAATCGATTGGCTTCATAGAAATGATATGTATAAACGACAAAAAAAGAAGAGTGAATCCGAGATCATTGAGCAAAACCAACAATCACCCTTCTCAGGTGAACACAACTTGTCGGGTTTGATATTTTGTGTTTGTTTGTTGCTGCATACCCAATATTGTTTACAATCCCATAGAATGTAATGAATTCTTCTTTTTAACTAGATGGAATTATGCAATGTCATACTACACAAATACCAAATGTTCATGAGGCCATTCCAGATAACGACTACGTTGAATTCGATAGTGCATTATTCGAGCCTGCAAATGAAGGTGGTGTCGACGACGGTGAGAACTCAACAATCATTATCTCATTTAATACATTATATATACTAACAAAATTTTGAGCATATGCATAATGAACCATCATTCCACAGGTCGTGTTGAGGACGAACAAGGTGCGGACAATGATTTTGATGAAGCCAGTCAAGTTTTGGAGGACGATGGATACGAGTCATATCGTGTTGGTGTTAGTGGCGTTAACGGGATTGGTACTGATGATCCACACGATCGTGTGTACCATAAACTGTCGAAGACACACCATCTCTTAAAAAAAGTGCCTGATTGCAAACACAGCCATGCGATAAGGTTTCAATTTGAGTCTCCTGGGTTCTGTTGTAGGGAGGGAAAGATAAATGTTAAGATTCCTGTAGTGCCTGACGAGTTAATATGGTTGTTTACCAGTCAGGTGCATAATGATGCAAAGTATTTCAGAAAGCACATACAGTACTTCAACTCTCATTTCTCATTCACGAGCCTTGGAGAGACCCTTGACCAACGAGTCAGCACTGCAGCGGGTACTGGTGTGTATACATTTCATGTACACGGTGCGTTGTACCATCGCCTGGAAAATTTGGTTCCAGGATCTCAAGGTCCTCGCCATATGCAGCTTTACTTTTATGATACAGAAGATGCTGATGCACTGGCTCATAGGGTTTGGAGGTCTCCTGACCTTGATATCAACCTTGTCCGAGTCATTCTAGGTATTTTGGCCAAGAACCCATACGTACAAACCTTCAAAAGAGTCGGATCCATGCCTAATTTAGATGACTACATGATTGAGCTCAACACCAATGTAACACCTGACCAACGAAGATATAATGCCCCCACGGCCTCGCAGGTTGCTACTATCAGGTTAGAGGGGGATGATCCAGTGAGAACCTTAGATAGACATGTCTTGGTACGTGCCAAAGGTGATAAGCCCAATTATATCAAAGCATACCATGGTTGTTATGATCCTTTGGCATATCCTTTTTTTAACCCTAATGGGGAGACTGGGTGGAACCTGAAAATGCCATACGAGGATCCCAACCAGATTCCGTTTGATGTGGAAATGGATGAAACATGCGAGGTGCCGACTTTTGGTAATGTATGTACTAACGAAGAAATCACTTTTGATGATCTTCCGGGTACGTATACTAATGGTTTTTGTCGAATAATTTCTAAAGTTTATGCCCATCTGCATTGTTTATGTATATTAATATGTAAGTTTGGATGCAAAGAATGAGATTGTTGACAATTATCTAGACAATGAAGATGATAATGACGATAGTAGCAGATCTGGCAAAGGGAAAAAGGACAAGTTTGTCACAGCGAGGGAGTACTATTGCTTTAGGCTATAGGTTAGAAGGGGACTTCTAAACATCATCTTGTTTGGAGGACAAATTTTCCAACAATGGGCTGTTGACATGTACATCAAAATCGAGTCTATGAGACTCGATTGGTACTCAAAACCTGCGAACCAAAAAAAGATTCGGGCTGAGCTATACCAGGTAAATGATATAACATATTTCCACAACTATTGACATTGTCTCCCATCCAAGATTCAACAGACAAGTTATTTTATCATGGTGTTATTTAATGATTGCAGGGCGTGGTTGATGTGCTTTCTTCTGGAGAGACAAGTGGTTCGGCGGTTGGTAAGAGGGTTGTGCTACCTCGCTCTTTTCCTGGAGGTGATCGCGACATGCAGCGAAGGTTTCTCAATGCGATGGCTCTTGTCCAGCGTTTTGGGAGGCCAGATTACTTTATCACAATGACCTGCAACCCATACTGGGATGAGATAACGGAAAATCTCGAACCTGGCCAGTTACCGCAAGATCGACCAGACCTTGTCGCAAGAATTTTCAGGGCTAAGTTGCGAGACATGCTGGATCTATTTGTGAAGAAAAAATATTTTGGAGAGGTTCAGGCTTATGCGCACGTCACTGAGTTTCAGAAGAGGGGACTACCACATGAACACATCCTATTGATCATGAAGTCAGGCAGTAAATTGACAACCCCAGATGAGTACGATAAAGTGATTTGCGCGGAGATACCAGACAAGGCCAAATACCCTGAGCTACATCTTCTTGCCATCAAGCATATGCTCCACGGACCATGCGGCACATTGAACAAGAATTGTGCTTGTATGGTGGATGGAGAGTGTCGCTTCGACTTTCCTCGACAATTCAATCAGGCAACACAACAAGGGAAGGACTCGTACCCTTTGTACAGGAGGCGAGATGACAGATGGCGTGTCAAGATTAGAGGTGCTGAGTTAGACAACAGGTGGGTGGTCCCATATAATCCAGGATTGCTTATGCGGTATAACTGTCACATCAATGTTGAAGCTTGCGCAAGCATCAAATCTGTGAAGTACCTATATAAGTATGTGTATAAAGGACACGATTGTGCATCTTTCTCGGTTGATCCATCTGGGGAAATAAATGAGATACAACAGTACATAAATGCCAGATATGTGACACCACTAGAGGCTATATATAGGATGCTTGGTTTCCCACTGTTCGGTATCTATCCAGCTGTTTTGCAGCTCCAACTTCATCTTCCTAACATGCAGTATGTCACGTATAATGAGGATGGTAATCTTGAGGATGTTGTCAATCGACCATCTTCTTCTAGGACAACTCTTACGGAGTATTTTAAAATGAATCAAGTAGACCCAGAAGCAAGGAAATTGCTATACAAGGAGTTCCCCGAACACTATCGCTGGATAATTGGACAGAATGTGTGGCAGAAAAGGAAAACGCAGAGAGGTCAAGTTGGACGGGTTGTGTACGCTCACCCTGGAGAAGGGGAGAGATACAACTTGAGAGTTCTTCTCAACCATGTGCGAGGTGCTACCTCGTTTGAAGATTTGAGGACAATGTCAGGTACAACGTACTCTACATTTAGAGAGGCATGCGAGAAGAGAGGGCTTGTGGAGACGGACAAGTCACATGATGATTGTTTAAATGAGGCATCCACTTTCCAAATGCCATCTGCTCTGCGTCAGTTATTTGCAACCATACTGGTATTTTGTGAAGTCACCGATATCCGTGCATTATGGGACAATCACAAGGCTACAATGTCTGAAGATTATAGCCGAGGGAACACTAACCCTGCAGCAGTAGAGCAGATGGTGCTACGAGATATACGTGATTTGCTTCATTCCATGGGGAACGATATCACGGAGTATGGTCTTCTCGAGATCAGTGATATAGGTATTTTTTGTTATACTGGCACATATTTTTTATTAATTTACATTCGCACCACCCATCAATAGTTTCATGACGCATATTTTTGTTTTCACTAATCAGGTGAACGTACCAACGACGTAATGACAGAGATTATAGAGGAACTTAACGTGCTAGTGGACCAAGACCATCTAGACATATACACATCCCTTAATGACGAGCAGCGTGCAGGATTTGATGAGATAATTGATAATGTAACTAATAAGAAGAGCCAGATATTTTTTATCGACGGCCCAGGTGGCACTGGCAAAACGTTTATGTACAAGGCGCTTCTTGCTAGAGTGCGATCCGAGGGATTAATAGCTATTGCAACTGCGACGTCTGGTATAGCAGCGTCGATTTTGCCCGGAGGACGTACTTCACACTCAAGATTCAAAATCCCTATTAAGATTGCTCACAACAGCATGTGCAACTTCACGAAGCAAAGTGGCACCGCGGAATTGCTTCACATGGCGTCCTTAATTATTTGGGATGAAGCTGCAATGACGAAGCGTCAGCTGTTGAGACACTTGATAGGTATCTTCAAGACATTATGGGTTATTTATTGCCATTTGGAGGCAAGGTTGTTGTTTTTGGCGGTGACTTCAGACAGGTTCTTCCCGTGGTTACACGTGGGACAAGGGCCTAGATAACTGATGCAACATTGCAGAGATCGTATTTATGGGAAAATATTAGGAAGATACGATTGTCGCGTAACATGAGGGCTCAATCCAATCCATGGTTTTCGGAATATCTCCTTAGAATTGGAAATGGAACTGAAAACACTATCAGAGATGATTACGTTCGCTTGCCTGATGAAATTGTGATTGCTTATGGGGATAGTGAGGATTCAGTACATTAATTGATTAATCATGTGTTTCCCTCGCTTGATGATGAAAAGAATGCAAGCTCTGCATCTTATATGAGCACACGTGCCATTCTATCCACTAAAAATGATTATGTGGATAAGCTGAATGCGAATATGATTGACAGATTTCCAGTGCAGGCCAAGGTTTATCATAGCTTTGACTCTGTTGATGATGACCCTCACAATAGCTATCCTCTGGATTACCTTAACTCTATCACTCCAAATGGTCTCCCACCACACGAGCTGATAGTAAAAATCAATTGTCCTGTGATTCTTCTTCGCAACCTCGATCCTAATAATGGGTTGTGCAACGGAACTAGACTTATGGTAAGAGCTTTCCAAGATAATGCAATTGATGCTGAGATTGTTGGTGGACAACATGCCAGCAAAAGGGTGTTCATCCCACGGATCCCTTTATCTCCCTCCGATGATATATCTCTTCCTTTCAAATTCAAAAGGAAGTAATTTCCAATACGTCTTAGTTTCGCAATGACCATTAACAAATCACAAGGACAAACCATCCCAAATGTTGGGATCTATCTTCCAGAGCCCGTGTTTTCACATGGTCAGCTATATGATGCATTGTCAAGGGGTGTGTCAAGGCTAACAACAAGGATTTTGGAAAAGCCAAAGAAAGAAGTTGACCCCACAGGGAAGAGCACCAAGAATATCGTGTATAAAGATGTTCTTAACTGGTGAGCAAAGGTAGGTTCGCATGATCAAAATTAATTCGAAAATATATTTTAGAAGATAGTAAATTGTTAATCCGAATGTTACTCACCAACTTCCTCTTGTTTTGTAAAGCACGTCATCACTATTTAGGTGGAATATTATGTGATTATCTTCTCCATACCATCATGTTCTAGATACGTCAATTTGCACCGGATTGATAACATGACTATGTGTTAACACTTATGTCTCACTAAATATTTACTTTTGCCATCGGCAAATTTTAGTAGTTGTTCCATGTATATCTTAAAAGTAGACGTTAACAAGATGACCAACAATTGTTATCTTGTTTTACATGGTGAAACCATTAATTTGATATCTATATCATATCATATTCATATTGTTATTTGAGTTTATATTCACGTCTTTATGCTAACAAAAAAAATTACTAACATAAAATTTTAAATGAATTACACCGTAGCGTTTAGCACGGATATATTAAGTAGTGTTAGAAAGTCTTACGTATAAAACGGATGGAGTAGTTAAGATTTCGCTGCCTTCACATAGAGATGTAGCAGTCCCTGCGCGTAAAGCCACCATCCCCATCGCTGTCGCCAATTTATATTCTTTCTTAATCTCGACGGTTTTTCCTGTTTCCAACTAGAAGCGCGTGTCCCTGGCTCCCCGCCCCGCACTCTACCGCCGAAGAAGCCAGGAAGGGAGTAGGAGGAGCAGGAGGACAGGGTCAGCGGTCCAGAGGCAACGCACGCGATTGCGGTTCTGCCTTCGCGCGACCAAGTCCTCGCTTTTACCATCCGCCCTTGCTTTCTACTGTTATATATCCTCTTGCTATGTGCTGCTCTTCCTTGTTCTTCTTGCCTACTACTAATTCTTCCGATCTGTCCGCAGAGGTACGCGCAGTTATTTCTGGACCTTCTTGATAGTTAAGGTCGATCTTGGTTACTGGAATTTATAAGGAATCGGGATTTGGTGTGTGTATTCTTGGCAAGTTGGCACGGGGGATGATCTTTGCCCAATTCAGTTTCATTTGTGCGCAGAAACTTGCTTGCTGCGGAATCTGACCCAAGGAGTTTTCGAGATGAGCGGGAGGAGATCGTTCTTCGCATCCAAGAAGCCGTCGCGGAGCAGCAACCCCTTCGACTCCGACTCCGACGATGGCGGGAGGGAGCAGAGACCGGCGAGGGCCTCCTCCGTGCCTCCTCCGGCCGACCAGCGGGGCTCCCTCTTCGGCGGCGGGGATGGCTTCTCCGCCTCGTCGGCGGCGGCGAGGAGCCGGTACAGGAACGACTTCCGCGACACCGGCGGCGTGGAGGCCCAGTCGGTGCAGGAGCTGGAGGGCTACGCGGCGTACAAGGCGGAGGAGACCACTCAGCGGGTGCAGGGCTGCGTCCGCATCGCCGAGGAGATGAGGGATACCGCGTCCAAGAGCCTCGTCACCATACACCAGCAGGGCCAGCAGATCACGCGCACGCACATGATGACCCTCGACATCGACCAGGATCTCTCCAGGGTAACTAACACAAACTAATAACTAATACTATGTGATTACTCAGAAGCCTGATTAATTCTGTTTGATCACATAGTGGCGTAACAAGTCCCCACCAAAATTGGCCTGTTTCCTTCAGAATTCCATCCTTAATAAGTCCACGAAAACTGAAACAAACTTCGTGTCACACTTCAGAAATTAATTGCCAACTCCAAATTTACTGTATTATGTGGTAATAATGGCTAAAGGGAATTCTTCGCACCTTTTCAGAGCGAGAAGCTGCTGGGTGATCTTGGGGGTATATTTTCCAAAAAGTGGAAGCCAAAAAAGAATGGAGAAATCAGGGGGCCTATGCTAACTAGAGGTAATCTCCAACTCTAGTCTTGAAATAGTAGACTGCAACAACAGTTGCTGACAGGGAAAGCTTGTACTATGTGGTATCACTTATCAGTTATGTTCTCTGTGTAACTAACTGGAAGGATGGAATTACTTGTATGCAGATGATTCCTTCATTCGGAAGGGCAGCCATTTGGAACAAAGGCACAAACTGGGACTATCGGATCACCCACCTCAATCGAATGCACGCCAATTCCATTCCGAGCCAACTTCAGCCCTCCAGAAAGTGGAGGTAATGCGCTAAGACATATATGGTGATTGATTTGCTAAGTGTGTGTATTCTGATTATCTTGTTGTGTTGCTCAGATGGAGAAGGCAAAGCAGGATGATGGCCTATCTGATCTAAGTAACATATTGACCGAGCTGAAAGGCATGGCGGTTGACATGGGCACTGAGATTGACAGGTGAATGCCACATTTTTCACTTTAGTTCATAAAAACTAATACACACTTGTTTTTTCTGAGATTGGCGTATTGTTATGTGGAATCCCTTTTTTGTGCTCTAATTCCAGCGTACTTTTATAGTTTGTACTAACTGCCAGTTTATGTTTAGTCCATTCTTTAAAAATTTTCACTTCTTCATGCTGAACGAACTAAAAAGGAGTAAAAAGTTTGGCCAAAGTACCTTCAAATTCAAGCGGCAAATTACTTCCTAATATCTAATCTGGAACACTTTGCATAATTATATTTAAATCTGATGAGTATTGTTGCTTTAACAGTCCAACCAATAAAAATCATCATGTGATATGTCTTTTTGTCTGTTGATTGGATTCAGACAAACAAAGGCTTTGGGAGATTCAGAGAAGGACTACGACGAACTGAACTTCAGGATCAAGGGAGCAAACACTCGGGCACGCCGTCTGCTTGGAAAATAAACTGCAGAATATAATCTCATCACAGGACAGGAGTCCTTCCATCCCTTTTACCCTTAGTCTTGTGGAGGATAATTAATTGTTTTGTGGGCCATTGGTTCTGATGATTCTGTGCATCAGATTTTGATCAGTACGGTGAATGGTTGGTCCTGGATATGTCAGGGTATAATGTATCTGTATATACTGCTATAGCCATTAGCCAGTAATGCTTTGTGCCATTGTTTTGGAATTTGGATCGTTCGCAATTGTTTCAAATCGCGTTAGCATCAATAAAATTAGCAATCTGCCAAGCCTCTCATAATCGATATAACCATAATCACTAACTCGTCGGTGGGAAGCCGCTAGCCGCTAGGATGCGATGTCATGTGATGGGTTCTCCTAAGCTCTGTTCTTTCCTTCAAGTTCCTAGCCCCTCATCCTTGTTTTCCGCACGTACGCTTTTCAAACTGCTAAACGGTGCATTTTTTGCAAAAAGTTTCTATACGAAAGTTGCTTAAAATAATCAAATTAATCCATTTTTTTTAAAAAAATTAGCTAATACTTAATTAATCATGTAATAATACATGTTCCATTTTGCGTGCCGGGGAGGAGGGTATCACAACCCCTCCTCCCGAACGCAGCCTAAGGTCATTTCCAACCCAATGACTAGGATGGTGTCCATAGCATTAAATAAGCTGCCACCTAGAATGAAAAAATGATATGACAAGTGAATAAATGAGAAAAGAGAAGGAAACCATGTTTTACATGAGACATGGTTTCTACACAACATCTAAGATATCATGTGAGATAAGTAGTATTAAATTTAAGTATGGAACAGTGGTGTTTGCATTGGAAGAGTAGTGTTTAGTACTAGTTTCTTGATGATGTGGAGTTTATGGAAATTATGTATAGTGTTTTAGGTTGGGAATGGCCTAAGTATTCAACCAGATTTGGGTCTCATATAAAAATTTGTGCGAAAAATAGCTTTGACGCCGTACTTTTGCCTTTTGCTTATTGAAAGCAATGGTATTTTGTACCTCGGCGTTTTTTGTGATAGCACGGCCCTTGATTACTGCACCAACAAAATTTTGTCAAAGAAACAAAACCCATATAACCATTGAAGTAAAAATGTAGTTGAGCGTGAGTTAAATGGTACACAGTCCTTGATGAGCCGTTGGATTGGCTTGGACGGTTGATATTACTTGACTGCATGCTGGTGCCTTCACGGTGTGAAGGCAGAGGATACTCTTCACGGGCCACCGCACCGCGCCACTCCAACCTCTCCGTGGTCCGTGCTCACCGCTCCGGGCAACGTAACCGCCTGTGCTCCTCCCTCTGATTCCTCTCCACGGTGTTGGGCTAAATTCACTCCACATGTACCTTTTGTTCTCAGCCCATTGCAGTAAAAATGCCTAATAATTGTGAGCCATTGATTCATGCCTTGATCAATGGTTGATATTGCCTTATCCTTGTGGTAGGAAGAAAAACCCTAGCCTCCATTGGAGGGAGAGAGAGCAGTAGCCTTTGATCGAAGAAATAACCAACAAACACAAGAGAGGGAGAGGAAGAAGTCCAGCTTGTTCAGCTCGGGGCTCTTACCCGATCTTTATCAAGTCAGCGATTAGAGGCTCAAACGTGGTTGGATTGGCACCAAACTTGGTGAGTTTGTTCCTCACTTTGAGCACTTTAATCTGGCCAGTTTGGATGAGAAATGTTTGAGTAGAGCACCGGATTTGAGTAGTGGTTTATCAACTCGAGTTACTGAAATTACAGATTGTGCAACAATTAGTAAAGTGTCAGTTTGAGGGGTCAAACGGTGTCCGATTAAGCTGTTTTTTGGATAGCTTGGAAGGGACTCATAGACCATCATTTCTGCCATGTTTCATCAATTTGCATCTGTGGTTTGAGAGATCTCAGCTGAGAACCGAAGAGGACAAAATCTGCCATTTCTCTGCTTGTTTGTTGATATACCTCTTGTTAGCTTTGATGGTTGATGTTGATGATGCCAAGTGTGTAACTTGATGTTGTAGTTGCTATTGAGATGTGCCTCTAGATGTTCTAGAGAAGACTCCAATTGTACCCATTGTTGATTATAGTGGAAGCTTGGAGTGGACCGTTGGTCCCGTAGTTTTTTACTCCTCACATCGAGGAGGTTTTTCCACGTAAATCACCATATCTTGTGTGTATGTGTTTATTGTTATTGCATTGTTGATTTGCTAGTTGAAACTATCCTCAAAGTTCATGGCAAGATGATGGGTTGATTGTGTGAAATATGTTTGCCGGTTAGTGAATTGTACTTTGCACATTCTAGGTGTTTTGGTTCAGTCCCAACACACGGTCCTCCCACTCCCAATGGCCGCCGCAACCAAAGGTTCTTGTGGAAGGCTACAGCGCGGGAGGCTAAGGTGGACGGGATAATGATGTGGACACTGGCGCCAGTCCTGGAGCTGGAACGCATCGCTGTCGACTCCGGTGGTGACCCAGATGCCATCCACCACTGCGCGGTAAGTTCCCATTTATCCCGTTTATCTTAACCAGGGTTTACGATTCCGAGATGGCCTTATGTTTCGGGCTCTGGCGGAACAATGGTTTTCGCGAAATTCGGTGGAATGCCGGTAGATTTCGAACAAATTTCATAAACCAAATTTTGAATACAAATTCCCTGAGTTTACCTAAGCTCGCGAAAACCGGTCGGCTTTGGCGAAATTCTGAGCGAAATCATCAAAATTTCAATTGGTAACTAGAAAAAGAGGTAAACTAATTTTTTTTTCCTTTTTTAATTCTTTATTCTTTTCTTTCCTACTATAAATTTTAGTAAATATATGGAATACATCAATTTATTAAAAAAAATTATATCCCAATAGGTTTGATGAATATCATACTATTTATAAGATTTTATTTAATTTTTTTCTTTTTTATCAATTCAAATTTAAATTTGGATGAAACTCATCGAAATCCGGCTTCTGCAGCCTCGTCGAAACCTCGAAATTTCGTGGAATTCGATCGGTTTTCGTCGGAATCGTGAACCCTGGTCTTAACTATCTCTCTCTCTGAGAGAGGTATGTGAATATTCTAATTTTGCATAGTTTTGAATGTGTTAATAGTCCGGAAATAATTTCTTTAAGAAAATCTTTTGTGGATGGGGGCTGCTTTGCTAACGGTGTCCATATTTTGCTCTAGCTGTACTGGAAATTAAAGTATCCTTTACTTATAGGTTAGGCTTAGGCATTGTTCTAGTCACATGTTTGTTGTATTATCAAGGGGCAATTATGTAACATTCCGATCTAAGGCTTAATAGAATTATTAGAATACTCATATAACAAGTTGCAACTTCTTTTTCGAAAGCCGATTTCTAAAGAACTCTAAAGTTAAGCATGCTTGGCTTGGAGTAATTTAGGGATGGGTGACCGGTCAGGAAGGGCCCGGCCTAGAAGAGGCGGGACGTTACAAATTCGTACCCTGCTAGTCGGTACGTTTTCTTCAATGGGAACCTCTTCCTTCCTTTTGGAATAGGAAGGCTTGGAATTCTGTGTGTCATCAATTATTTTGTACAATTTGTGTGATGAGACCATGTCTACCCTAAATATTTCACCTATAGCTGATTCGCATGCAGGGACACAAATATTACAACCGACAGTTTAATGAATATTAGGTTGGTTCCTGTACTTCAGTCATGAAAAATGGCAAGAGCGAGGGATCAAAAGGGCTAGCTGCTGGTGTTTTTCCATGGTGTCAGCAAACATATTTTGATGCTGCTGATATTGTGGTCAAGAAGAAGAATAAGTTAATTAATTCAGGTTGGCTCTATGCACGTGGAGCTGCCGACTTGAATGATCTGTATCTTGTTTATGTTATGAGGAAGCAGGTCTACTAATTAAATTGATAAGTAACAATTAAGATCAGGATTAGACAAAGGTGCCGTATACTTTATTATATTTCTTTTAATTAGCTGATGAAGTCCATCTTAATTAGGTATATGTTCTAGAACCTCTTTTGTTGCCTTGCGCTTCCCGCTCTTACGGCTTCTCTTTTTGCTAGACTCTGGCGCTTCTTTGTTCATTGTTTTCTTCTCCTCGCCTGTCTTCCCTTTATCTTTTCGTCTTAAGGCATCATCTGTGTGAGCGCACCTATCAACGATCTCGAATAACTTGCGTGCAGAGGTGATTCATCATGTCGCCAGCTCCTAGGTAGTGTAGCAACCTCGGACGCCTGATTTGAACGCACGTATCACAGAAGCATCGATGATTTCGAGGATCGTATTTCGGCATTCGTTGAAGCGCCAAATATAGTCCCTCAAGGATTCACCGGGGTTCTGAGTTAAGGCAAGTAGGTCGTCCTCGATTGCATGGCGTTTGTACGTTCCCTGGAAGTTAGCGACGAACTGCTGCCACAAGTCTTCCCATGAAGAAATCGAGCGAGGAGGAAGATGAACCAGCCATGATCGGGCTGATCCTTTTAACGCAGTTGGTAAGTAATTTGCCAGTGCGTTGTCGTCTGCCCCAGCAGCATAGAGAACTGTAGAATAGACATGAAGGAACTCCTTGAGGTCTATGCTTCCATCATACTTCTCTATTGCTCCTGGTCGGAATTTCTCAGGCCACCGTACTTCTCGTACTGTGGGTGTGAATGCTCTGCATCCTCCTCCCGGTACGATACGCGGTCGGTGTCCATGCTGTCTTCTAGGTGGTCTAGCTGATGATGAGGACGATGAAGATGATGATGACGAAGGGCCGCTCGGATATGGAGCGTTGCACCTGGATCGGCGTCCTTGTTGATGATATCGACGGGAGGCTGGAGAATTCGACTCCTGCCATCGTCGATCATCGTTATCTCGTCGTTGACCTCGACCATTGTCGTCCCGATCTCGCCGTTCTCGACGGTCATCATCATGATGACTTCGACAATCCTATCGGTCTTGGTTCTTGTTAGGGTGGCCTCCTTGATTCGCAACGTTGTTTCATCGCGGCGGAGGATGGCGTTGGTGAGCATTGTTGTCAACTCGTTGTTCCCGCTGACGCCCAACTAAGTGATCGCGTAAATCGTGATTACCTTGTGGCGGTGGGGTTTGATGACGAGGGACACGAGGTGAAGCATTGCGGGGATTTCGACCTAGATCTCGACTTGGGTGATTGCTATGGTCTTGACTGACTTCGGTGTCGGCTCCGTCATGTACATCATCTCCTTGATGCGGCAAGTCTGGGGCTGGTGGTTTGGCAACTGTCGCAAAAGCACTGTTCAGGTTGGCCATTGTCTCCCAAAGTCGCTGAACCCATTGATCACCGTTGGGATGCAAGACCGTATCGAAAGGGCTTTCTCTTAGGATCGAGTTAACGATGTTCAGATGTTGGGCAGGAGTGCGGGTGTGATCCGCGTTTGCTCGAGCAGATGGTTCACCGCCGCCCTCCCGTTGATCATGTTCATGTCACGTGGAGAGTTTGATTCTCGATCATCCCGACCGTGCAGGACCGAGGGTTCGTGAGGATCCAAACCTACAAATCCTACCAAACGATCTGGGTTTTTGTCTGCGTCTTGTTCCTTTGCAACACGCCGAGATTGAACTCGTGGTTGTTGGAGTTGAGGGCAGGAAGATTTGGTAGCGTTGAGAAAAACTCTGCAGCTTGAGAGATCATGCATTTTCCATTTGTGGATCGGACACCAAGTGGTATTTGTCGGTGAAGTTCGTTGGATTCCTCGTTCTTTATAAGATCTGAGTTCATCCTTCACATGTTGTGCCACTGGGTAGTCTGATAGAAAGTGCTTGGGTGTTTTATGGATAACACACCAGGCAGATGATTTCTGAGAGAACATCCTTGTCGGCGCCTGGTTCCCGATGAGGGGATGGGGATTGGCCGCTTGAGGTTGACGTTGTCATAGTCGTTGTCTGTTTTTTCCGTATGGATGGAGGGAGGCACCGATGACATGTCATTTCTCGAAGTCGTAGCTACGACGTTCTTGTTCCCGACAGAGATTGGGCCAGACGAGATCGGTATCGCAGAGTAAACCGGAAAGTCGATGGATCCGAGTTGAGTCCACATTAGCGGAATTGAGGTTGGATCTCCTGCAATGGGGCCGATGTAGACAAAGTTGTTGGAGCGGCTTGAAGTCATGTCGGCAGAACCTTGATCACCAAAGCCCCCTACCTGGCGCGCCACTATCGACGGGGGGTACCCGTAGACCGGATGAATTGGGTATTGGGGTACGTTGGTACGAGAATCTACACGATACAAAATCAAAGTAGAAAAGAGACAAGGATTATACTGGTTCAGGCCCCTCGTGAGGTAGTAGCCCTAATCCAGTTTATATGAGATTTATATGGAAAACCACATAATACAAAGGGAACGGATGAATCCGATGGTACCGGCGAGATCCTTGTCGAGATTGTTCGACGAGATACCCCGGTGGCTTCGGCTTAAGTCATTCGGCTTTGTAAACTATGATGGGTGTGTTGGTGCTATGATTCGATGATCCTCAGCCCATTCGAAGGTGTGCCTTTTATACCATGAGTTGCCTTAGTCTCTAAGTAGAACTCAAAGACAACGAACCCTGCACGATAGAGAATAGTCCCTATCCTCTCCGAGTAGGACTCTGATAATCTCTAGCCTGTGAGGATATTTTCCATAATATCTTGTATATTTCCTTATCGCATACGGAAACATATCGTATGATACGAGGTATGCCAATCCGGTATATTTGGTAAATCGTAGGGTAGAAGGTATGCCTTATCCGTAACCCTAATAGATTTCCTAGTGAGAAACAGTGTCTACAGAAAGCTTAATTTAATTCTACCGCAATACTTCATGCACTGATTTGCTCGTTGCTACCAGAACACGCTTGTTGACGAGAAATCCGCGCTCGGCAGATGGTGCCAAAACTATGTTGGCGCGAACTAAGTTGAAGAACACAACTGCCTGGGAGATCTACTTAGCTCTAGTGCAGGTCCAAAGGTTGATGAGATGCAGGCATGCCAGTCAGTTTGATCCTACAACTGACAAGATATACAAATAGCAGATCAATGAGCCGATTGACTGACAAGTCGATGGAATAATTCCAGTCGATGCCAATACTAGCCGATAGCGATAGGGTTTTGAGCTGTCGGCTATATGTTTGATGCAGAATCTGACACTTGATGTAAATAAAGTCAATCGGCTGATGATAATGTAATATAACAACAATATAATCTAATAGAAACCAATCGGCTAATAATGATACGATAGAATAAGCACGGATCCAAAGGTTAAAGCATACATCGGCTGGAGGTCTGTTGACGGTCGTTAGCAATCAGTTTTGACCGTCAATACTACCAAAATAGAGGAGAACTAGTTATGCTTTCAATGCATATTTGTGTTAGAACAATAAATGTTCCACTAGTACTAGGATTACTAACCTCTTGTAGAGAATGAACATAAAATAGAGGAGAATCAACATCAAAACAAGCGATTAATGAATCGGGCGATGTCGAGAATCAAACTTGTGGAAAGATGGGCCAAGAACTCAGAAATGACACGACCAACTCGGCCAAAATTCACAAGTCTACAAAATATATCAAGAGGGGAGGCCGCCAACCGAAATTGGGCTGGTTTGGCCCAGCCTATGGTTCGGCCGAACCCATCATGGTGCCATTGGATGCAAGGTTGCAGCTGGATGGTGTGGATTAGCCCCCAATGACGGTTGGAGGGTATTTCCGACCATTCCAACCGTCACAACCATCATTGGGAGGCTATATAAACCTCTCACTCTCTCCATTTCAACACACACTTCAAGCAAAGTTCTCTCATATTCTCTCAAGCTTAGTTTAGTATTCTCAAGCTTGTGGAGTAGGAATAGAATAGAAAACAGAGTCTAGAAGTCTTCGGAAGAGTTCGGGTATGGCTCTAGCAGCTCTCCTTTCTTCTTTTGTAAGACTTGTACTTTATTTAGAATATTCTTCTTTATACAATTCTAGTATTGTAATACTTTCCAAGTATATGAGCGCCAACTTTACTTTATATCTGACTTATATTGATTTTACTGCTAGCTTATTTGGGAGATGCAATGGTACGGGTATAGTGTTTGCTTATGCAATTACTCTATGTTATGACGATGACATTAGAGTAGTATCTAGTAGTTTAGGCGTGGTGTCTAGATTATTGGGTATCATTATTTTGTGTTATATGCTGCGGAAGAGAGGTGGGCCACTGATGGTGACAGCTCAGTACGGGTATTCCTCCGCGCTTGTATATAGTCCTAAGTTAATTTCCTGGGGAGGGTATTCCTCCGTATTTAGCCCCGGTTGTATGGTCATGACGGGCTGTCGTAAGGAACTGGACAGTCAGGGGTGGCTTCTCGAAGTACCAGGAGGGCATCGGAAAGAGGGTATTAGCTAGTTAATCTTATAGCAAAGATGTATGCATAATATGTATTCTATAAGTATAGGAATAGATTCTTTTCTATTTTCTTCCCACTTAGCTTAGATAGTTTAAATATGAGAATGAGTAGTCTTATGCTTGTCTTTCATTCTACCCTATGAATTGTACTAACCATTGCTTAGACTATGGTTATTACAAGTAATATATAAATTATTAGTACGATTCTCTCTACTATAATCTTCCCACGAGATTAAACAAATACGATATCCTTGGAATACTCTCGGGTGAAATGGTACAATGGTATATCCGTGTGCTTGCGGATGAACTCTGTAACCATAATATACCAGGAGTATTTCTGCGCCATTGCTGGGAATTATATTTCTAGTAATGTCGTTAAGAAATACCAATAAACATTTCTGGCACCGTTGCCGGGAAGATTTATAAAAGAGATTACCACTACTATTACTCTATATTTACCTCTGTATAATCATTGTCCTTTGCAGGCTAACCTTGGTTTTTTTCACTTTTATTGTGGAAACAGGGTAGTGCATGATTGGTTTTAACTTGCCGAAAAACTTCAAGGAAAATCCAGAGGCTTTCTTTCAGAGCGTCAAGTCGCGAGTCGTCGCTCCGCAGAAAACTCTTCCGACACAGAAACCAGCCATACCAGTGCCACGAACTTTCAAGACTATGGCTGACAAGACCCTCTGTGAATTCGCTGCTCCCTCTGCTGACAATGTGGCCACTGGGTCGCAAATCAACATGGCAGACGTGAATTTCGATCTGAAGTCCAGCCTTATCACGATGGCGCAGGCTAGCCCGTTCTGTGGCAAGCCTAAGGAGGATGCCAACACACATCTGCAACAGTTCCTGGAGATCTGCAGCATGCACACAATGAAGGGGGTCAGTCCTGACACCATCAGGCTGCGACTGTTTCCGTTTTCCTCCTTGGGAAAGCGAAACAGTGGTTTTATGCCAACCGTGCCACGATCAACACCTGGGACAAATGCTCAATGGCATTCCTGTCAAAGTTCTTCCCGATAGGCAAAACCAACACCCTTCGTGGGAGAATTTCAAGTTTCCAGCAGACAAGGGACGAGTCCATTCCTGAGGCGTGGGAACGACTTCAGGAATACATGGCCGTCTGTCCTCATCATGGGATGGATGACTAGCTGATCCTGCAAAACTTCTATAATGGACTCACTCCCACGTCTCGCGACCACCTGAACGCGGCAGCTGGAGGAGCCTTTTTCTCTAAGACGGTTCGAGGAGGCGTCGACTTGATAGAGAAAATGGTCTCCAATATGGGCTAGAGCGAGGAATGACTTCAGACCTGTCATCGAGGCATGCACACCGTCAAGGAGCCGGAGATGCTTGCTGCCAAACTGGACCTCCTCATGAAACTCTTGGACGATCACGAGAAAAGGCCAAAAGGCACCATCAAGGCCTTGGACTCACACGTCACGTGTGAGGTCTGCGACAGCATGGACCACTCTGGGAATGACTGCCCAGAAACCCATGAAGAAGTCCACTCGTGATCCGCCATATCCTAACCCTGTAGAAACCAGCAGTATCACCCAAGAAGCACCATCTGGAAGCACGACTGATGAAGAAGTTCAGCCAGAAAAGACCGTGCCCCAGGAGTATTGTGACACACGACTGCTGCCATTCCCTCAGAGAAGCAGGAAACCGGCAGTAGATGAGTAGTTCGCTCATTTTCTTGAGGTGATTCAGAAGATCCACATTAACGTGCCGTTGTTGGATGCCATGCAAGTGCCAACATACGCACGTTATCTCAAGGATATACTCAACAACAAAAGGCCGCTCCCAACAACTGAAGTGGTCAAGCTGACAGAGCAGTGCAACAATGTCATACTCCACAAGCTCCCGGAAAAGAAGAAGGATCCGGGGTGTCCCACGATCATCTGCTCGATTAGGACACATAAATTCGACCAAGTCCTCTACGAGTTAGGAGCAAGTGTAAGCGTCATGCCCAAAGACGTCTTCGACAAGCTCAACTTCATGGTGTTGGCACCAACACCGATGCACCTGCAGTTGACCGACTCATCGGTCCGCTACCTAGCTGGGATAGCGGAAGATGTACCGATCAAGATTCGGGATTTCTTTATCCCGGTCGACTTCGTGGTGCTCGACATGGACACTAAAAAGGAGACGCCGCTCATTTTGGGGAGTCCATTCCTTAGCACCGCGGATGCCAACATTGATGTAGGAACAGGAAGCATCCGTTTCCGTATCAACGGGAAGGAAGAAAAATTTGAGTTTTAGCCGAGGACCGAACAATGTTCCATGGTCCGGATCAAATACGGGCCAAACCCACAGAACAGCCAAGAAACAAGAGAAGCCAGCTCAGAGGAAGCCATCGCCCGCACCAAAACCAAAGAAGGTGTGGAAGGTAAAGCAAAAGACGCCCGCTCCATCACCTCCGGAGATGGGTGGAAACTCCGCGAACTAAACTGAAGGGAGGTATGGTCTTGCACGTTGGACCGAAAATGACGTGACCTTCGCCAACAGGTAAATTGGTATGTATCCACATATTTATTTCCATCAATTTGCATTTTTGCATCAATGCATATGTGAATTCCAAAATTTGCATTTAGAATTGAATTTTGAGAAAATTACTTCAAATGAATTTTCCAGAGCAAACCAAAATAAAATTTTCAACGAAAATTCGCTGAGCCATGACCGCACTGACCGTTGGAATCCAACGGCCGAATGTGGGGTTGGTTGGGCCCACCAAGGGTTTGGCCTCCAGCAAGGCCAACGGTTGCGTGCCTCTTTCTTTGAGGCAACGGCTAGTGGGTCCCACAGGTCGGTTATGACCGTTGTGGGCATTCTATTTAAGCCAACCGGCCGGGAGAAGGAAATCCACCCCCATTTCAACTCATTTTCACTCCCTCTCCATGATTTGCTCTCAAAATTCATTCAAGCTTTGTTAGTTTCCCTCAAATTCAAGCATTTAGTTGCATAAACAAGTTGCTTTGATGAAGCTAACCGGCGGGTGAAACTTTTGTTATTCTAACCCCCGTCGAGTTAGTTTGTTCTTGTTCCTTTGTGCAGGATGAGGAGGCAACTGTCTAGTCTGTTCAAGAAGGGATCCGGCTCTCCATCAAGTCATCATGATGAGTCTAGTGCTCGTTCATCCGTAGACGTCTCGATGGAGGATGCTGACATTCCACAACATCTCTTGAGCGACACCGACCTCGACCTTGTCGGTGATCGGGAAAGACAAACCTACTACATGCTGAAGGACCGGGAGTATGCCCACACGTGGGTATACTCTCCGGCGCTGCTAAAAAGATAGGTATGGATACTAACTTTCGTGCTATTTGGAAAGCTGTTGGATGGCAGAGATTTACTGTAGTAGATGAGCCTGGTTCTCGTTTGCTTACTTTGCAATTTCTGTGCACTTCGAAAGAAATAGAAGATGGAATTTCCTTTCGCTTTTTCCATAATGAATACACACTTTCATGGAAAGGATTAAGTACACTTCTTGGTTTTCACGATTCCTATAAAATCGATCTTCGGGAAGGAATTTCCGGGTTTGAGAAAAACAGATTTTGGGAAGACATTTCTGGTGCTTCAATTTGCAAGAAATTAGGATGAATGATATCCATAATCCTACAATTAGGCCTATTCACAAATGGATTGCTATGACTTTGTTTCCTATAGGTGATCTTAGACATATTAGAGAGGATGAACTGATTATCATGTTTGCCATGGTTAGGAAGATTAAAATTGCTCCTATAAAATGTATGATAAGGCAATGGTTAGAAAGTATAAGATTTACTGCTCCTGTTATGCACTTCTCTGATTACTCGCATAGCAAAGGGACTAGGGGTTATTACCAATGATCAAATTGCTTATATTTCAACCGCTCGTCCCTGTGTTGATGAGAGTTATCTAGTGCAAGGGCATATCCTTAAACATGGAGTAGATGGGTCTTTGATATACTTTTTCCCTGGTTGTACAAATGAAATTCCGTTGCCTAACGCGGGGTATCATTTGTACAACTATCATGAACTAACCATACCCCTGCAGACCATAGAAGAATCTCGTGTAGGTGGAACATACAGGGAGACACGCAACATGGCAAGGAATGAACGGAAAGGTTCAACATCCTCAACACCCGTACAGATGTATGAGGCAGGTTGGGAGCCAACTGGGGATGCACCCAAGCTCCACACCACAACATTGGGATCTCGAGCTGGGAAAGTGCCAGTGAGAGCCGGTGGCGGGCGCCTCATGACATACAGTGGGAAGGCTGGAACAATCAGTCCCCCAGATCAAGTGGTATGCCTCCATCTCCCGGTGAATGGCGCACGAGTTCCTCTCGTTGGGACTTGGGTGAAATCACCAGGAGAATGGATACCCTTGATATGCAGACGGGAGAGACCCAACACAACCTCGAGGAACACATAGCGCAAATGCAAGAATGGCAACAAAATGCTGATGCTCAGTTCACCAACATGAACAGCCTCATGCAGCAACAGCATGATGGCCTTTAAGCGTACTTCCGCTTCTAGGGATTCAATCCTTATTAAGAACCCTGAGCGAAAGCCAAGCTTGGAGGGAGATGTCTATCCGCCCACTAAGGTAACTTATATCACATTGCATATTTCCCTTTCCGATTGCATGTTTGTTTTTCCAATTGCATTCTATAAACCTGAAAACAACATAAAAATTTGCAAAATAGAAAATACCAAAAAGATAGGTTAAATTTTATTATGCTAGGTAAGACAAATTGGTTCTCTTTGTTGAAATGATAAATAGTTGCTCTGTTTTATATTTCTCATATATGAGTTCATAGGTAAGTACTCTCAAAAATTAAATATGAGTAGCCAACAATTATCTGGGAACCTAAGGTAAATGAGCTGCATTTGCTAATCTGAGTCTAAGTTGTTGCAAGATATGAGATAGTAAATAAGAGTTGCTATAGTCCTTGTCTAAGTTTGACTTGAATTCCGGATGTTTTATTTTTCAAAATGATAAACTTATGAAGTTCCTCATTTGATATAAATTCTTACCAGAGCCAAAAATATTCCATATTGATTAAACCATATACATTTTGGTTACTTGCAATTCCATTGAATTTTGTCAAATCTTTGTGACTTGTGTAGATACTTCTCATGCTCTATGATCAAGATCATACACCCACATATATGCAGATGCTAAACTCCTACACTAGAAGCTAGCAATTATCCATTCCATTTCCATACTACCACCAAAAATAAATTCTCCATGCTTTTATGTGCTTTCTTCTCCTAAAAAGAAATCCTTTTTGAAAAAAAAGAGAGAAAGAAAAGAAGGAGGGAAAGGCAAGGTTATGAAAATAATAAAGTTATGCTCTTTCAAGCATGAGCATGACGTTGGAAAAAAAAGAGAAAATAATGTAGCCATGCCCTCTCCTTATTTATAAGAAAAGGATTTTGGGAGAAGGAAGTAAGCACAAAGGAGAAGCGTTTTCTTTATTTCTCACATTTCATTTCCACCATTTATCACACACACACTTTGGACGATCTTGATCTTGAGTATGTTTAGTTATCTATTTTCGTTTGAGTTTTTGACTTAGTAATAAATGTGAATACAAGTATGCCATGTTTGATCCCTACCGAGCTCCACATATCAACCTTAGAGTAGGAATCAAAGAGGCATAAATAGTGAGGAAATAATATTGATACACTTGGAGAGACCGAGTGAATCATTTGAGGAACTTGGATTTCTTTTGCAAAATCCTTTGAAAAACTTCCGGAATAAAAGTTGAATAAAGATTGGGTGATTAGTGCTCTAATTGCTGTTTTGTCTTTCAACCACTCAAGACAAGGTGAGACAGTGTCTCGTGGGAATCAGGGGTAAGGGTAAGCCACCGTGCCATAGAATTATTTAATTTGAGAGAGAGTACATATACCTTGCACCTATACATTTGAGATATACTGCATAGTAGCAACTCCTGATCAACAACCAAATCTTTGTTTCCTTTTGTCCTTCACTCAGGATGAGCAAAGGTTCAAGCTTGGGGGTTTTGTTGACGGTCGTTAGCAATCAGCTTCGACCATCAATACTACCAAAATAAAGGAGAACTAGTTATGCTTGCAATGCATATTTGTGTTAGAATAATAAATATTCCACTAGTACTAGGATTAC